GGGATTGGAAATCGTTGCACTTCATGCTCGAAATCAGTAGCTGGTTCAGCTTGTGGGTGGTCGAGCGCCTTTGGGTGTCACCCCAGCGCTAACGCTTCCGAGTTCACTTGCGCCGGATCCCGATTCGGCTAGAGCGAGCCCACATAAAACACCGGGTGGGTCTGCATTCTCCTCGGAAGGTTTAGCGTATACGCAAGGCCTTGCTTGTCCACAACCTCAAAAGGTCCGATAAACCATGGACGGAGCTTCGTCTTAACGACAACAGAAACCGCATGTGTAGGAAGAACTTTAGTATTTAATAAGACCAGGTCTTCGACCTCAAAATTCTCCACATTTCTTCTGCTTCTTCCGTCTGCACATTCTTTCTGTTTGTCTTGGCTTTCAGCCATCGCATCGCATCGCGAACGTGTCGTAAGACACTCAGTCTGTAAGACAGGAAGTCATCGACTTCTTTACGCACAGTGAGGGGGTTGACATTAGCTAGCCGCTCGGCTATTCCTCTCCCACCAAATCCTGAGCCATATGATAGGGGCGTCAGCGTATGAGCCCGTCCGTGTAGAACAGCGTGTAGCCGGCAGGCACATCCATGGCATTGTTCAGAGCAAACTCCACAAGTGGCAGCATGGCGCTCCCTCGCCTCGGCGTCTCAACGCAGACGCTGCAAAGAACGTCTTCAAAGACGCAATTAACGCGTTCAGTTTGACCATCAGTCTGCGGATAGTCCGATAATGAAATAGTCGTCTTGGTGCCCAGCACCCTGAAGATTGTCGACTAAAGCTTCCCAGTGATGCGTGGGTCTCAGCCAACGACAATTGACTCCGGGGATCCATGCTGTCGAAAGACACGATCCACAAACAGCGGCGCTGTTACCACACCGTCGATGATGTCCGGCACTGCCGCAAGATGAACCATCTTTCTCAAACTGTCCACAAAGACCACTACACCCGTTTTTCCCGTCGAGGCCTTCGGCAGGATAAACGCAAGGTCCATACTAATGGGCTGCCAACACCCGGAGGGAACCGGTAAACTGGCCAGCGGCGCCGCCGCATTCGGAGAGAATTTCACATTTGACACGTCTCACACGTGCGCACATA